AATCATGCGTTTTAAACTATATGAGTTTAAACTTCAGATATAAGGTTTTCTGAGAGCACACATCCGAAGCACACGGACAGAAAGCGGCTGTCACAGCAAGTGAGTACCAAACTAAGTTCTCATTCACACACGTTCTCATTCAAGTTTACGTTAAAAACACATGAGTTACAAAAATAGTCGGTTATGTCTGTGAAGGTAAACTGCTGGGAAATAAATCACATGTTTATTTTAGATCTGTGTGGCAGCAGCAATATACAGTAAATAAATCAATAAATGCACTGCTCTGTTGTCTCCTCTGAGGCTCGGACTCAAAACAGTGTTCCGTGCAGCCAAAGGCAGAACATTAGCATTAGAGCTGGTACACTGTTGTCACTTGCGAAATCAAAATGACGGCGCCGTGGTTGGAAATTTACAGATTAAGGGGTGGTAATATTATAATGAGATCCCTTTGCAACGTCACTGGGGGAGCGAAATCAGACGCGCTGTTTTTTTTTCAGACGCTTGCAGAAAAAGGCTTACCAAAACAAAGTTACTGGATTAATCTTTTTCACGTTACTTTGGTTGGTAGATGCACCGGGGACCTGATTATAGCACTTAAAACCTGGAAAAGTCAGATTTTCATGATATGTCACCTTTAAGTAAGTGTGGTGGCTGCTATGTAATGTTTTGGGAGTTAATAAGATGAAAGCTCTTTTTAACCTGGACATCCTTGAGCTTCTTTTTGTGTAAGCGATTCTCCACAGATAGTCGGCATATACTCCCTTGAGGCAATTATGAAGTTCATAATAGAAGACAGAGAGAACAAATTTAATTAAGATAAGCCTTTACCTGTTCATCTGTTTCTGTTTCTCTGTTTGTTCTCTTCGTAACAGAGCCATTAGAGGCCCGCAAAGTTCAGTTCAATTCTTTACCATTGCTCACAGTCTCTGTGAATCATAATAATGTCACAATCTGGTCTATGATTCCCCTGCTGCAGAAGTGTTAATACACAATGACTGCTGAAGCAGAACTTAATTTATATTGTGTTTCTTTCTATATTCAGTGGAATAGAACATTTTCTTGAATGACAGTTGAAATTTATGATAAATGACATGGTTCCTCTGAGTCAGTGAACAGAAAGTGATCTGGACAGTAAGATGTCAGCCATTAACAGTATGTTTGGAAACATAACTTGTATTATTAATTGAAAGCTACATATGTGCCCCCTCTGTGAAATCTAGGCTAAAGTCTCAAAATCTAATTATGAGATAACAAGCATCAAAGTTTGATTTCAACCATTAATTTCACTATATAATTTAAATCTTTGACATGGTCTTACTCAGTCAATATGAAAGATATTAAATTTTACAAGGTTTGTAATATCTGTAAATATTACATTTACAGATATTACAAGGTTACATTTTCACAGAATATTATTTACCTTATGAAGGATGATTTTATGTAGAAAACAGTAAATCACAAAAAAATGACTTTAGCTGAGTCACAGAGAGGGTCACATATTTGATTCATTATACTTATTACAAAATTATGCAAAATATTTATACAATTATACAAAATGATAGAATGCAAATTTGCATTTGCATACTAAATATGGGTATAAAAAAGCTACTGCTATTTGCGTCCCAGTGTGAATAGTAACATATAAGCTACTGTTTAAATTAATGTGAATTCAGTATTGTTTTCTTTCTGCACTGTGGTGTAAATAGCAATATACTGTAAATCTCCCATTACAGTACAGTCTAGATAAATTGATTTATCTCTCTATTTGAACTAGGCCATCGTTTGTTTTGTAGCCTACAGAACAAAAGCCATATCGACCAGTTTATGTCTTAACTCATATTTCAATATTTGATTTCCTGTTTCACCAGTACCATTAGATTCAGACGAACCATAATAGGACTGCAAGCATTTTCCAGATTTAGCATATCAAAGCATGTTCCAACTCTAATTTAAAAAAGCAGCAGATATCTGAGACGTGAGGGGAATAAAAGTAAACATTTTAATATAAAAAACCCCCTGCAACATCAAAAAAAATAAAATAAGCATTAAATAGTGACAGTAAGGAAAAGTGCAGAAAATTAAAGCTTTATGTGCAAAATGTAACACTCAGATTCACCATAACTAAATATTCAGGACAAATCATGAAAAAGTTAATGCAGAATAATGATATGGAAAACAAAAGCATATACTTTCATTCATAAGTTAATATTCTATATCCTGGGAAAAACCTCAATCATCTGCCTGCTTGGTAATTGATGACAGCAGCATTGGTGATGGTTATTTTTTGTTTTAAAAAATTTAAATTGTACATAAAATTTTTTTTAAATAAAAAGTAAATAAAAACTTTTAAAAGCATTATAAAACATTCTTAGGATTTTATTTACACTACTATCGAAATGTTTGGGGTTAGCACATTTTTTAAAAAGGAAATTAATACTTTTATTCTGCAAGGACACATTATATTTTTCATAAGTGACAGTAAAGACATGTATAATTTACATTTTAAAAACATTTAGTTAAATAATGATAATAAATGTTTCTTGATCATCAAATCAGCATATTAGAATGATTTCTGAAGGATCATGTAACACTGAAGACTGGAGGAATGCTGCTGAAAATTCAGCTTTATCATCACGCTTTATCATGTGTAAATAGAAAACATTAATTTTAAATTATACTACTCAATATTGATTTTTATTGAATTTAAAATAAATAATTTCAGCTTAAGACATTAGACATAAAAAAAAAAATAATAATAATTAAATTAAAAATGAAAATTGCCCCAGAAGGAAACACAATGCATTAAGAGCCTGGAGGTGACAACTTTTTGAATTTGAAGATCAGGGTAAATTGAACTTATTTTGTCTTCTGGGAAACTCATTTTCTTGATTTTAAGGAGAAATTGCAGTAAAAAAAAAGAGAGAGATGGTTTAAAATATGTCCTGGAAAAATAAAGATGTCTTTAAAAGCATTTAAAAATGATAATTTTTTTTTTTATAAAATGATCCTAAGGCAGGGGTAGGCAAGTTCGGTCCTAGAGAGCCGCAGTCCTGCAGAGTTCAGCTCCAACCCTGAAAAAAACTCACCTGCCTATAGCCTTAGGCTTTGTCCAAATACCCACACTTGCGGTCTTTGCACTTGACCACTTGACTGCTTATATGATGTATTTCCTGTATTTGGCGTAAGTGTTCAAGTGAGCATGAAGACCACAAGTGTGTGTAGAACTTTTCATTACCTGATGGGACACACTTGTAGTGTTGTAAAAATGCAAGTGTTTACATAGCTTTATTTTAATTTTAATTTGAAATACTTTGCATTTTAAAATCAACTTCTAAATGTCTGTTCAGTAGTCCCTATAACATGACAATTTTAATATGTGGTGCTTCTAATTAAGTGATAAAAAGCAGTTGCAAATCTTGTACAAAAGAAATATCACCACTATTCATCTTAGCAACTAATAAAACATAAAAACACAGTTTTTCTACCAAATTTTATGTAATATCTAATTATTATATTAATATTTAACTTGCATCGGAAAGGTTTCCGTGACCTCTCGCGAGATCTCGGTAAAAAGTCTCATGATTTATTTCCAGAACATGATGCATGATGGGATACACTTAGCCTTGAATAGCGCTCTGGAGCGGTATTTGAGATAGTGTGGGTTTAGTGTGCGTTAAGGGCACTGTGCTTTGCCGTTTTCAAGACCTGGGACAGTCTTGCGCACTTACTTCCTGTCGCGCTCACGCGCTCTCAAGTGGCCAAGACTGCAAGTGTGGATATTTGGACAAGGGGTTAGTAATCCTGAAGACATTGATTAGCTTGTTCAGGTGTGTCTGATTAGGGTTGGAGCTGAACTCTGCAGGTAAAATAAATAATTTCAGCTTAAGACATTAGACATAAAAAAAAAAATAATAATAATTAAATTAAAAATGAAAATTGCCCCAGAAGGAAACACAATGCATTAAGAGCCTGGAGGTGACAACTTTTTGAATTTGAAGATCAGGGTAAATTGAACTTATTTTGTCTTCTGGGAAACTCATTTTCTTGATTTTAAGGAGAAATTGCAGTAAAAAAAAAGAGAGAGATGCTTTAAAATATGTCCTGGAAAAATAAAGATGTCTTTAAATGCATTTAAAAATTATATATATATATTTTTTTTATAAAATGATCCTAAGGCAGGGGTAGGCAAGTTCGGTCCTAGAGAGCCGCAGTCCTGCAGAGTTCAGCTCCAACCCTGAAAAAAACTCACCTGCCTATAGCCTTAGGCTTTGTCCAAATACCCACACTTGCGGTCTTTGCACTTGACCACTTGACTGCTTATATGATGTATTTCCTGTATTTGGCGTAAGTGTTCAAGTGAGCATGAAGACCACAAGTGTGTGTAGAACTTTTCATTACCTGATGGGACACACTTGTAGTGTTGTAAAAATGCAAGTGTTTACATAGCTTTATTTTAATTTTAATTTGAAATACTTTGCATTTTAAAATCAACTTCTAAATGTCTGTTCAGTAGTCCCTATAACATGACAATTTTAATATGTGGTGCTTCTAATTAAGTGATAAAAAGCAGTTGCAAATCTTGTACAAAAGAAATATCACCACTATTCATCTTAGCAACTAATAAAACATAAAAACACAGTTTTTCTACCAAATTTTATGTAATATCTAATTATTATATTAATATTTAACTTGCATTGGAAAGGTTTCCGTGACCTCTCGCGAGATCTCGGTAAAAAGTCTCATGATTTATTTCCAGAACATGATGCATGATGGGATACACTTAGCCTTGAATAGCGCTCTGGAGCGGTATTTGAGATAGTGTGGGTTTAGTGTGCGTTAAGGGCACTGTGCTTTGCCGTTTTCAAGACCTGGGACAGTCTTGCGCACTTACTTCCTGTCGCGCTCACGCGCTCTCAAGTGGCCAAGACTGCAAGTGTGGATATTTGGACAAGGGGTTAGTAATCCTGAAGACATTGATTAGCTTGTTCAGGTGTGTCTGATTAGGGTTGGAGCTGAACTCTGCAGGACTGCGGCTCTCTAGGACCGAACTTGCCCTACCCCTGTCCTAAGGGAAAGAAAAAGTTCCCCTAAAAGAAGAATTCCCCAAATACAATTTATGAACATTTCCACAGAAAGCAGATAGAGAAATAATGTGACACTCCAACTTGCAAACAGATGAAAAATTGAATGGTTTGTGGAAATGACCTCTTAAATGCGTGATTCACCAGTGTGGTTATCGCTCCTGGAGGCCTGTGAAAGAGTGCAGACAGTCAGATGATATGTCTAGCTCATTTATATTCAGTCACAACTAGTTATTAGGAAAACACACAGCTCAGTTTGACTAAAATGCTTCAATGATCGTCACCTCTCTTCTTAAGCATTCAGAAAGCAAACATGCAAATGAGAAATGCTATTTCCCTTCTGAGCACGCGGTTAGTATGTGATCTTTAACATCCGTGTTATTATTGTAATGAGTACGCTTTATCCCGTGACCTGATTGATGATGATGTCAAAGCAGCAAGTAAACACATTTAATAGTCTCAAAATGTTAAAGGAATAGTTCAGCCAAAAAAATGTATTCACCCTCAGACCATCCAGCATGTAAATAAATGATTTTGTTTCAACAGAACTGGAGAAATTTAGCGTTACATCACTTGTTCACCAGTGGATCTTCTGCAGTGAATGGGTGCCGTCAGAATGAGAGTCCAAACAGCTGATAAAAAACATTACAGTAATCCACAAGTAATCCACATGACTTATCAGTTAACATCTTGCAAAGTGAAAAGCTGCATGTTTGTACCAAACAAATTCATCATTAAGGCATTTTAACTTTACAGTGTTACTTCACGCCAAAATACCAGTCCACAATTCATAATAACACTTCTGCCGGTGAAAGTCCATCCCCTCTTGTCCTCTCATATTAAAATCAACTGATGTATTTGCTTGTTTTGGACTGTTTTGTCTTATAAATGGTGCTTGATCTGTGCATATTTCTCCCCTGATTCAGACAAAATAACTTTTTTTTTTTTTACTGGAGAAAGAAATATTATGGACAGAGGATATTTTAGGCAGAAACAATGGTTGAAAACTTTTAATGATGAATTTGTTTCTTACAAGGCACCCATTCACTGCAGAGGATCCATTGGTGAGCAAGTGATGTAATGTTTTTTTTTTTTACTGGAGAAAGTAATATTATGGACAGAGGATATTTTAGGCAGAAACAATGGTTGAAAACTTGATGAATTTGAATGATGATGGATGAATGATGAATTTGTTTCTTACAAGGCACCCATTCACTGCAGAGGATCCATTGGTGAACAAGTGATGTAATGCTACCAAATCTGTTCCCTCGAATAAACAAACTCATCTACATCTTGGACAGCCTGAGGGCAAATTCTGTGCACACATTCGCAAAGCAAGAGCTAACCGGCTCCTCTTTGAGACTGAGTTTACCTGCTGTTTGCTTGTTTGGTTTGAGGTGAACTCTGAATATTTCCTCTTGTGTGGTGCACAGATACAGGACAGGAATTTGGCATACTCCTCTCTCACCTGTCAGGAAATTACAGAGACATTTATCACAGACAATAGCGAGTGCATTTTTATGATCATCAATTTATCATCATAACAAATGTGTTTGTGAGAGTTTAGCGGCTTTTAGTCTATGTTTATGATCTTTAAAGTCAACTAATGCTAATATTCTCTGTAAGATCTTAGATCTTCATATATCAAAGGTGCAGAGACATTGTTGGTGTGTGTGTTTTTGTGTTAGATTAGTTTACATTTACATGTGTATTTAAAAAGATGTATCTTGTGTTTTGTGCTAATAAGTTAATATGTTGAATTGCCAATTTTTGTTACCGTGCTGATAAATAGTGTTTTCACTTTACTTATGATCAGTTGCAGAGCTTAAGGCCATTCACTTGATCGCTGTCTGATTCATTTGGTCAGCCGTAAAACAGGTATTCTGTTAAAATTGCCTATAAACATAATCATTAATTCCCTCTGAACACAGATTTTTGTCCAATCGGATGCTCTCTAGAATGAAAATGGTTCCGCCCCCTTATAAAACCGCCCCTGAAACTGACTAGCAAGTGGCAAATTAAATTCTATCGACTACTTTTATTAATAGGGAAAAAAGATGTCAACAATCAACATAACATAACGGATGTCTTTACAAACAACATCAACTTAAAACTACTAATACGATATTAATAATTACAGTCATTTTTCAATCATTTGATTTAATAATTGCAAATTTAAACCCAGTCACCTCTCACTAAAAACGTTTGCTATTCTAACTGAACTGCAATTTGTTTTTCTAGTGTTCATTTTAATGTTCTACGTATCATTCCCTGTCCAGTGCCAACATTTATTGTTTTATTATTACCTGTCCCTGGCTTAATATGTTGTCAAAGCATGATTGATCATTCCATATTTTCAGCTAAACTCTGCATCTTTGTAATGAGATGAACAGGACTCACTTGTTTTGAGAGCCAGCAGTGCAGGATGAACATCAGCACCCCCTGCAGGCTGCTTAGTATGGTGAAGATGTATGACATTGGCAGAGTGTTTTCATTAAACTGAAAACAGCCAAACACCCACATGATGCCAAGGATACACAGCTGAGCAATTGCAGTAACCGTAAATGCCCTGTAGGTGGAGATAAAGATCTGCTTATAGCACACTGTAACAAATACTAAACGCATAAGTGCATAAGAGATGTCATTCAAAAACATTAACAAAAGCTTTGATTGGTAGTGAGGGTTTAATAACATTTCTCACTTGATTTTGTGTAGACTGTCTAAGTCTGGGTTGAGGGAGGAAAACTTTTCTGCCAGCTTCCATATTGTTATGAGGAAGAATAATACATTAACCTGAAACGAGCAGGCAAAACGTAAAGTTTAAACAACAGCTTTCATTCTTGACATTTCTTTTAAGAGATTTTTGATTGTTGGTAATGTGGCACTTTCCAATAATAGCATAAACTATGCTGTTTAAAGTACAAACTCATGGTTTTTGTTTTGAGAACTACTTAATACAATATATTTGATAAACAATAAGAGTAACATGAATAAGTAGTTTACCTGCACTGAAAAATGATATTATCTGAATTAATTGGTTTTATTGTTATTTATTTAAATGTTTTTATTTAAATATTTAAAAGAACTGAATCAACATACATTAGGTTATACTATTTTAAGCATTAAATTAGGTAGAAATTCCTATGTAATGTAACAATTACATGTTTTACCCATTGGATAAAATGCAACATTCCTAAAAATTCTGACAGACATTGTATGGTACTAAATATTGTGACACACAACAACAAAAAATATTGGGACCCTTTTTACATCATTGAATTGTAGAAAGCCATTTATATACTTTTTTAATGCAATAAAATATGTGACCCTGGACCACAAAACCAGTCATAAGTAGCACGGTTATATTTGTACAGTGTAAAAAAAAATTCTGTAGTTTTTACAAAATAATTTTGGCAGCTGTGGTTGCCAGAATAATTTTGTAAAAAATACAGAAAAACTGTAAACACATTTACGGCCAAAAACTGTACATTTTACAGTATAAAACTGTAATTTACAAACAAGAAATGTTGAATGTAAACCAGTAAATTCAACCATTCACACTGCTATTAAAATCTGTTTTGTACCTTTAACATACTGACAACCACCATAATAATGCAGGTGATAAAAGAGAAAGCCACATGAAGAATCAAAGCTCATCACAAGTAGCTTCGCCACAAGCAGATTTTGACTATAAATTATACATTGATTTGTTATTTTTACTTCTAAAAACTGTACATTTTTACTGCATTTTACTGTAAAATTACAAGAAATATCTGGTTAGATATTTTACAGTTTGTCCCTGTATATAGTACGGGAACTTACTGTTAACCTATTAACAGTTTTTTCCCGTAGCGTTTTTACAAAATTTTACAGGTAAAATTACACTTATTTTTTACAGTGTAGCAGTAGCCAAAAATACATTGTATGGGTCAAAATGATAGATTTTTCTTTTATTCCAAAAATCATTAGGATATTAAGTAAAGATCGTGTTCCATGAAGATATTTTGTAAATTTCCTACCATAAATATATTCAAACTTAATTTTTGATTAGTAATATGCATTGCTAATAACTTCATTTGGACAACTTTAAAGGCTTTTCTCCATATTTTGATTTTTTTGCACCCTCAGATTCCAGATTTTCAAATAGTTGTATCTCGGCCAAATATTATTCTATCCTAACAAAAACCATACATCAATGGAAAACTTATTTATTGTATAAATCTCAGTTTTGAAAAATTGACCCTTATGACTGGTTTTGTGGTCCAGGGTCACATACAGGTATATTTAGTTTGGCCTTCCCTCATTGCCTTGCTCTTGACTCTTCGATCCTATTTTCTAATATATTTTGTGGAAAGTGCCATGTTAAGAGGTACTTACAATAATTATGACACAAACTGGCCCATAAAAGCTCCAGATGAAACCATCTGGAATGTTGAGCCAACAGCTACAGATAAAGAAAAACATCTTAATACCATCAGAAACAAACCTGAAATTCTAATTAGCATCTGCAAAGACATCAGTAATGTCTAAAACTCACTAGTTATCGGTGCCATATCCACTTGCGTTCACTGTGGCTGAAATGGCAACGATAACAGCAGGAACTCCATAACCAGTGGCAAACATATAGATGGGTCTCAGCGTTGTGTTGAAGACCAGCATCACCATGCGGAAGAGCTGCACTCCTTCCAGACACATCCAGCAGAAGGAAGCCAGGAAGAAGTAGTGCAGAATGCCTGCAACGACTGCACAGCCCACCTGAAGGACAGGAAGTGAACACTCAGGATGTTTATTATCAGACCCAGACAAACCAACCCTGTGTGAAGCTGCAGTTCACCTTATTCTCTGTGCGGGTGATGCCCACGAGGAACACAAAGTAGGCGATGAAGAGGCTGATGCAGAGGTGCAGGTGGATGGTGTTGCGTGTGCTCTGGATGGATCGCACGAAATAAAACGTGACAATGCAGATGAGGAGGCAGATCAGAGACAGCTGCAGTCCCACCAGTGTGACCAGACGCAGCTCGTATACATCCTAGTTAAGAGAGAAAATGAAGAGTCTCCTTAACAGATTTTAACTTACAGTTAGAGTGTGAGCACGTTAAGTATTCTTCTCTCTTTTGCAGCATGTCTTTTAATCCTCTGTTTCACTGCACATATCATTAAAAGTCATTGCAATTATTCAGGGTGTGACCTTTGACCCTCGCCCACAATCCTGTATGACTATCCACCTATATTATATCATTGGCTGCGTCCGAAAGCTTAGGTAGCAAATCAGTGACTTTGCAGGCAGCGTTTGCGCATGAAGGAACCTGATGAGACTAATGTCAAACATCTGAGGTAGCATAAAGCATAATGATCTACAACAAATTAGAGAGGGATTTGGTGATAACTAAGCAAATATTTAATTACTACAATACTAATTTTAAAAGTTGTTCAAAAACTGACCTTAACTTTCAATCACTGTTTTATTTGTCAATTATCTTGGAATGGAACGCACAGGATAGTGGGAAAAGGATACAGGCCATAGGTTATATACTGCATGCCTATAAGTCATTTGCACACATACAGTATGGCCAGTTTTATTAACAGCTCGCGCCAGCGTAAACCGTCTTTTGGCGTTAAAGTAGTACTGTCAGGATTTAGCCTACTAAAGATGCGCAGTGACAAATTAGCGCCGAAAAGGCATGGATAGTTATTTTTGTGCCTGACCTTACAGAATATGCATTTGTTTCAAATGCAAAATTTATGGGAGGAGAGTAGCTATTCAAATGAATCACGCAACTCATTTTACTAACGTTTGCACTCGTCAAATTACTGGTATTTGTGCCATTATTTAACACCCGAAAAAGCATGTCAAAAAATTTTTTTATACACGGCGGTCTAGAGTGAGCTTGAGAACAGCGCGGCCGGCGGATTCGACAAAGAAGGCTTGCGGCAACCACATGTGACGACCCCAGGGCTGGACTCTGCTTCGTCCACGGTGAAAGCCGATCCGGCGATCCACAGCACTAAGTTGATGTATTCCCTCAGCGACCAGCACGGATCAGCTCCAGGCATGACGAAGCGGATATTGTCCTCTTTTGGAAGAGCAAAGAAAGTAGTTTCGCTTTCACAACGAAGCACACAGCATCTTCAGGACATGGCTGCAGCGTCAACAATACTACAGCGAGAATAAAAGTTACGCCTTCTTTCTTTGCGTGAACATTTGGGCAGCGTTATGCAAATCTTCCCACATCGTGACGTAGATACAGTGGTGTGAAAAATACATGTCAACTGTTTTGATTCTCATCTATTCTTGAATTTCTTTTGATCGCGGCATGATGTGTTGCTCTTTAAGCATGCTTCACTTTGTCAGACAGGTTCTATTTAAGTGATTTCTTGATTCAACCAGTCTGGCAGTAATCAGACCTGGGTGTGGCTAGTGAAATTTAACTCAGCTTTCTAAAATAATGTGGTTAATCACAGTTCTTTCATGATTTAACAGGAGGGGGCAATTCATTTTTCACGTAGGGCCACGTAGGTTTGGACAGCTTTTTTCCCTTAATAAATGAAATCATCATTTAAAAACTGCATTTTGTATTTACTTGCATTATCTTTGTGTAATATTTAAATTTGTTTGATGATCTGAAACATTAAAGTGTGACAAACATGCAAAAAAATAAGAAATCAGGAAGGGGTGCTCAAGTTTTGGTGACAAAAGTAAGAATACAAACCCCAATATCATAGAGAGCCATAAGCACAGCAAAGCTGCTGAGGTGAGAACAGGAGCAGACGGTCTGATCGGCACTGGATCTCACTGTAGTGCAGCCACGTGTTGACCACGCGCCCCCTTCCAGTTCAGGATCCCAAAACACACACATATGCTTCTCATTCTTTTTCTGGAGGGAAATGTACGTGCAGAATTGTTAGTTGATAGTATATCATATTGGTGTAACACATATGTGGTACATTGAGAGAATTGTTCCATACCTCCAAGTGATAAAACGTGAGATTTACTGGTTTCGTTAGATTGTCTGTCTCTTTGTTACTAACAGTGGCAGTTACTACTTTTGAATTGATCTTGAAAGTTTGCTTTTGCTGTGTCTCTAAATGGTTAAAATAGCCATTGAGTGATTCCTCCAGACCTTTGTAGCTGAGGAGAGCTGCAGTCGTAAAGCCTGGTTGATACACAAAGACGGTAGAAACTGTTTTATACTGTCGAATAACAAAACGGTCACTTTTTTATTATTATTATTACTATTATTTACTCTGTAAATGAAATTAGAAGTATATACCGAGGTATGTATTTCCTGTTGCTGTGTCCCAGCTGGAGGTCAGTTGTGCTCCACTAGTATTCATCATGAAATGACCCTCAGGTGGAGAATTGCCCCTCTTTACTAACAGCTCCACATCTGGAGGGCAAAAACCACATTACAAATATAAAAATAAATTCAGTGAAGCGGATGTACGATACTGACATAATATTTTGGTCTTACCAGTTTCAGCGCTTACTCTCCTGGTCTGGTTTAGTGACAGCTGAGGTCCTATCAGTTTTAGCATGCTTTCCACAATACTAAACAATGCTGAGATTATATGATTATCACCATTGAAGCCACCATGAAGCAGATCATCTAGAGCATTTAGAAATGCCTGTATGCGGTTGGGTAAAATGAGAGAGAATTGTGGATCAAGATGATGTTTAAGTATAAGCACTCATTTGAGCTTGTTGAACTTAAGTGCATTTATGGTAAACTAAAATATACTTTAATGTAATTTTTATTCAAACTTGTATTTGTAATGATGAAGTTGCAGTTTAGTACATTTTAAATATAGTAAGTGTAATATTGCAAAACACACTAAGTTAGCCTACATTTAGAATTGAGTACATGTGCTTTATGTTAGTCAAGTCACCAAGAATTAGTGTACTTCTTTAAAGCATGACACATTATTAAAACATGATGATTTAATATATACTTTAAAACATTTAATTAGACATCACAAAGTGCACTTTTGTGCTCAAGTGTGTTAAGAAACAGTCATGAAAGTGTACTCTCTTTAGGTACATTTAAGTGGACATTTTTTGAATGAATATTTTATCATCTGCAAATATTATTGTATAAAAGTATTTAAAAATATTCTTTAAATTTAAGTGCTCCTTTTCACAAGGGTATATAGCCAAACCTGTGTATTTTTGCAATAAAACTGATGAACAAATCAGACGGATTTATCACCTGCAAAAATCTTTCTCCGTCCCCTTGTGTAAAATGCTTCATGCTGACAGAATCACTCTGATTCAGTATCAGACAGCTGTTGGTCATCAAAGAGACAAGTTTTGTGAACTCTGGAGATGCCTACACAGAAAAGAGAAATCAGCATTCTGGTTCATTATGAATGACTGCTAAAGCCTGGTTGATACACAAAGACGGTAGAAACTGTTTTATACTGTCGAATAACAAAACGGTCACTTTTTTATTATTATTATTACTATTATTTACTCTGTAAATGAAATTAGAAGTATATACCGAGGTATGTATTTCCTGTTGCTGTGTCCCAGCTGGAGGTCAGTTGTGCTCCACTAGTATTCATCATGAAATGACCCTCAGGTGGAGAATTGCCCCTCTTTACTAACAGCTCCACATCTGGAGGGCAAAAACCACATTACAAATATAAAAATAAATTCAGTGAAGCGGATGTACGATACTGACATAATATTTTGGTCTTACCAGTTTCAGCGCTTACTCTCCTGGTCTGGTTTAGTGACAGCTGAGGTCCTATCAGTTTTAGCATGCTTTTCACAATACTAAACAATGCTGAGATTATATGATTATCACCATTGAAGCCACCACGAAGCAGATCATCTAGAGCATTTAGAAATGCCTGTATGCGGTTGGGTAAAATGAGAGAGAATTGTGGATCAAGATGATGTATAAGCACTCATTTGAGCTTGTTGAACTTAAGTGCATTTATGGTAAACTAAAATATACTTTAATGTAATTTTTATTCAAACTTGTATTTGTAATGATGAAGTTGCAGTTTAGTACATTTTAAATATAGTAAGTGTAATATTGCAAAACACACTAAGTTAGCCTACATTTAGAATTGAGTACATGTGCTTTATGTTAGTCAAGTCACCAAGAATTAGTGTACTTCTTTAAAGCATGACACATTATTAAAACATGATGATTTAATATATACTTTAAAACATTTAATTAGACATCACAAAGTGCACTTTTGTGCTCAAGTGTGTTAAGAAACAGTCATGAAAGTGTACTCTCTTTAGGTACATTTAAGTGGACATTTTTTGAATGAATATTTTATCATCTGCAAATATTATTGTATAAAAGTATTTAAAAATATTCTTTAAATTTAAGTGCTCCTTTTCACAAGGGTATATAGCCAAACCTGTGTATTTTTGCAATAAAACTGATGAACAAATCAGACGGATTTATCACCTGCAAAAATCTTTCTCCGTCCCCTTGTGTAAAATGCTTCATGCTGACAGAATCACTCTGATTCAGTATCAGACAGCTGTTGGTCATCAAAGAGACAAGTTTTGTGAACTCTGGAGATGCCTACACAGAAAAGAGAAATCAGCATTCTGGTTCATTATGAATGACTGCAATATTCGGTTACAGTAATCTAGTAAAAGTTACGCAGTACCTGGGATGCTTTGCTCTCACGAAATAATCTGTCGCACTTTAGCTCTAAAAAACAAAACAAAACTATAAACAAAACATAGCTAAGCAATATCACACAAGAAAAGGTATGGTTGTGATTAGGTGATCACATTTGATATTCAGACCAGTAGCACAGATTGTGTGTTTGCAAGACAGATCATTAAACAAGAATCAATATTACACTAAACTAAAATATACTTTAATGTAATTTTTATTCAAACTTGTATTTGTAATGATGAAGTTGCAGTTTAGTACATTTTAAATATAGTAAGTGTAATATTGCAAAACACACTAAGTTAGCCTACATTTAGAATTGAGTACATGTGCTTTATGTTAGTCAAGTCACCAAGAATTAGTGTACTTCTTTAAAGCATGACACATTATTAAAACATGATGATTTAATATATACTTTAAAACATTTAATTAGACATCACAAAGTGCACTTTTGTGCTCAAGTGTGTTAAGAAACAGTCATGAAAGTGTACTCTCTTTAGGTACATTTAAGTGGACATTTTTTGAATGAATATTTTATCATCTGCAAATATTATTGTATAAAAGTATTTAAAAATATTCTTTAAATTTAAGTGCTCCTTTTCACAAGGGTATATAGCCAAACCTGTGTATTTTTGCAATAAAACTGATGAACAAATCAGACGGATTTATCACCTGCAAAAATCTTTCTCCGTCCCCTTGTGTAAAATGCTTCATGCTGACAGAATCACTCTGATTCAGTATCAGACAGCTGTTGGTCATCAAAGAGACAAGTTTTGTGAACTCTGGAGATGCCTACACAGAAAAGAGAAATCAGCATTCTGGTTCATTATGAATGACTGCAATATTCGGTTACAGTAATCTAGTAAAAGTTACGCAGTACCTGGGATGCTTTGCTCTCACAAAATAATCTGTCGCACTTTAGCTCTAAAAAACAAAACAAAACTATAAACAAAATATAACTAAGCAATATCACACAAGAAAAGGTATGGTTGTGATTAGGTGATCACATTTGATATTCAGACCAGTAGCACAGATTGTGTGTTTGCAAGACAGATCATTAAACAAGAATCAATATTACACTTAAAAAATTGGTAACCTAAAATGGTTAACATATTAATTACGTCAACAATATTAATATTTGGTGCAAACACATGCAACTGTTGTGTGCTATGAATTATGGGAAAGCATGACATTTAAGAGATATTTAGGAACCAAAATAAACTTTTAACAGAGAACTCTAACCTGTGCATTTCATTTGTTTGTGACCATAGTTGGTGAATCCTAAGCTGCACAAACATTCATGACCGTCTTTGCTGTTTTTGCAGACTCCTCCTCCACATATAGATTTATCAACGTCACATACACCTTCAACAACATCAAAACAGCATTTTGGAGAAGGATATTAGATTTCTCAAAAATAAACCGAAACTTCAATGTGTCAAAATATGAACTTGAATGGTTTGAAAGGACCTACTCTCGCATTGTTCACTTGTATCAGTGAAGTTAGTTTCTCCTGACTTTAGTCTGAATCCAGCATCACAGATGCAGTAGAAACCTCCAGCAGTGTTATGACATGATGCGTGTTTTCCACAAAAACTGGGATCATTGCATTCATCTCTGTCTGTAATTTAGGGACAGATAATAAACAAACACATGTCAACTGAAAACTCTTACATTAGACTGCAAACAAACAGATGGCCAAAAAATACGTAGGATAAAATAGTTTGATACCAATACACTGAACTCCTTGTCCTGAATTAAATATTTCTTTTCCATTGCTGGAAATGTAGCCAGTTGCACACGTGCAATTATAACCTCCTTCAGAACTGACACATTCTGCATTAGGACCACAATCAGCGCTGCCATCCACACATTCATTGATGTCTGAAATGAGATGAACAGAGATTCAGATGTTTTCTCTGCTGCTCAGAGATCATGTGAGATTCATCATATCAAGCTCTCTTTACCTTTGCATGAAATTGAATCCGCTTGTGTGAAATTATGAGTTGAAAGAGGTGTGAATCCTTCATGACATTGACAGTAGTAGCTGCCGTCAGTGTTGAAGCATCTTGCATTTTCTCCACAAATGGATGGTTGAGACACACACTCATCGTCATCTATAACAATGACAGAGAAAGTTTGAATAACCATAGCACCTTTTCCTGATTTTTATTTAAAATTCATTAATAAGTGCTGCTTCATGAATGTGTCCTATATCTGCAATATAATTTCCAGCTATTCAATAGTATAGAACAATATCAGCAAAACTTGATTATTATTTGTGTGTGTTTGTGTGAATCTTGTATAAATGTTGGCATGCACAACCCAAGTAAAATCCTGTTAAGCCCTGACATCAGAGTATCATATATGTTAGCTTTTTAAATCATACCTACACACTTTCCCTTGCGCTTTACATATCCAAGTACGCAGGGTGTTTGCATCAGGATGTTCTCTGTCAGTGCTAACAGAAGAACTATAAGCAGAAAATAAAGAGTCTGTTACTGCAAGTTTAGTGTCTTTGGTGCAGTTTGATGCACATATAGTGAGTCTGAGACGGCATTGATCATATGGGATGTTTTTATGTTAACTTGCAAATATGCAGATAGTTTTAGGAATTGTCAAAAATCAAACCAAAGGCATTCAGAAATTAAAATGAAAAAGAAATGAATAAATTCATGATAATTTTCAATTTGACTAAAGTAGTTATGTAATGAAATGGTAACATTGACTACATTGCTCTCATGCATGTCAAACTGAGCCACATTATGACCCATCCTAATCTCATAGGTAAGACATGCTTAAATTAACTAAAATTACTTATTGCCTATAATGGCTTTCTTGGCATTCAATTTACTAGGAGTAACAGTCTTAGAAGACAAAGTTGGAAGACATATCAAAGAAAAAAATAATTCTATTAAGCTAATTCTATTTCCACTCATTGTTCATGACAGTTGCATTGAGATGATGGCCAGTCAGGAAGTACACTGCTCGAGAGCTATGGGTGGGGTGCTGCGCAGTACTGTGGCTAACAGATTTAACTTACAGAACCAGCATACAGATCTCCGCACTGTCACATGCTTTGACCACAGGCTTGGTCAGCCAGAAGACGGTTAAAAAGTGCTGTTACACTTTTTACAACCACATTGGTGACTCAGCCATAACCTAAGGTGTGGTCTTGCTCATTATTTTGTAACCAAGCATCAGGCAAACAATGTTTTTAGGATTTTGTTCTTATTTTTTTCAGTTTAACAGTAAGGTTTATGTAACACTTTTTTCGCTCTTCATAGTTTTTCCTGGGTTTGATGTCATTGTCCCATCAGCCTGGGGCTCTCAGCTGTGGACACATGAAAACACCTTGGATTTCCTGTCCTGATTTGGTTTCCGTCAATATTTTTCCATTGTCAAAATCAAAGCCAAGTAACTTCACGATTTAAAGTAGTTCACCCCAAAATAAAACAATCTGTCATAATTGACTCACCATCGTCGTTTCAAACCTGTATGACTTTCATTTTTGTGTGGAGCATAAAAAGGACATTTTGAAGTGTGTTTTTGTCAGTGGTTTATCAAAGTGGTTTTGTTACCAACATTTTTCAAAATAAATTATTTTGTGTTCACCAGAAGAAATATAGCCATAAAGGTTTGCAGCGACAATGAGTAATGACAGAATCTTAATTTTTCAGTTTAACTTTTGAGTTTCACTTGTCATTTTCTCACAATATCAACTTACAATATTTTGATTATACAGTTTTACTATTGCAGTGTCTTTAAAGGTTAATGAGTTTGCATCTTTCCCCAAAATCACTTCTTTCATTTCACTTCACGGTTGTTTCCCAAACACTTAAACAGAATGTCTTAAGACTATGACAGCAGGAGCAAAACCCTCTGAGAAGACAAATGGATGTTGTGTTTCTTCTCCATTCATCAGTCACATTCAGCTGGTGCTTTCCAGATTACTGGAGCTCATAGGCCCTGCTTCAGATAAAAACTACCCCATTGTGACATCAGATTTTCCTATCTGTGGCAGTTTCCTTTCATGCCCATTTACTGTTTCTCTATTTTTGAAACTGCAACGATTACGCAGTTGTTGGCAGGGCAACATTTCATTTAGCAGAACCACACAGTGGCTCCATACAAACATCTGTCTCTACATTCATCAGTGGAAACTTCAATCCTGAAGAAATCTGAAACGTGACTCACCCAGACTCAGCAGATGCTTGTGCCTCATGGTCAAAGAGTGAAAGAAACTCGCAAAATGAAAAATCAATAATGAAAACGGCTTATGGTTTGATCCTGAGCAACTTTTATATTTGAATGCCTCCTTTTCTCAGTCTTGCTCTCAGACTAGGTCTTCTGTCTCTCTCGCTGACTCTAATGCTGAACAAGCCTGAAGTGCCTGAAAGAGTTTTGTTGGTCCAGCCCCCTGCTTTGGTTGACACCGAGAGGGAGGGAGTGGGACAAAAAGTTGCAAGAAAATGACAATTGGCTTCATGATGTTCATTAACAACAAACAAACAAACAAAAACAAAAAACTACTGTTCAGTGTGTTTTGCTGAACCCAGTTCAATGATTAATATTGATAATGTTACACATAAAGCATTCAGGTAAAGTTGTAAATTAAATATAAGCTTAATAATGCAGGATTTTAAACAGTGATGGGGGGGGGGACATTTATTATATATGTACAGTAGTTATTTATGTAACTCAGAATACTCTATGCTGGTTAATACTGAAGATGCATGTGTGAATTTATACGTGTGACTTCCTGTTTTCGTGTTGTCATGAAGGTGTCAAGGAGACCGTTCTGCTTTCAGTGCTGATATTTTATCACCCATGTAGTTTCTAACACATACATGTTTTTTTAGTATTGTTTTAGGTTAACAATACTCCAGTGTTCCTATGCCAAAAATGCATTTGCCAAAATAACCTTTAGCCTGTATTCATATGCAGAGGTTCCTATGGGAATGTTTGTTTGACAGATTTAATGTTACATTGTACTGACATTGTGCAAAGTTATATTTGCTCAAACAATGTCTTCTAACTGTGTTCCTTTGGGGTAGATTCATAAATGGGACAAGTCAACAAGTAGGCTAATGTCCCAGACCTCTCAACAATGGCACCCATTTGTGTAGTTCTGGTGTTGCTGTGACCTGTTGATTGATTCTTTGATATTGCAGCTTTACATGCATTGTGGAAGAAAAATGGCTTTCTTCTTACATCATAGACATTTATTATATATGTACAGTAGTTATTTATGTAACTCAGAATACTCTATGCTGGTTAATACTGAAGATGCATGTGTGCATTTATACGTGTGACTTCCTGTTTTCGTGTTGTCATGAAGGTGTCAAGGAGACCGTTCTGCTTTCAGTGCTGATATTTTATCACCCATGCAGTTTCTAACACATATATGTTTTTTTAGTATTGTTTTAGGTTAACAATACTCCAGTGTTCCTATGCCAAAAATGCATTTGCCAAAATAACCTTTAGCCTGTATTCATATGCAGAGGTTCCTATGGGAATGTTTGTTTGACAGATTTAATGTTACATTGTACTGACATTGTGCAAAGTTATATTTGCTCAAACAATGTCTTCTAACTGTGTTCCTTTGGGCTAGATTCATAAATGGGACAAGTCAACAAGTAGGCTAATGTCCCAGACCTCTCAACAATGGCACCCATTTGTGTAGTTCTGGTGTTGCTGTGACCTGTTGATTGATTCTTTGATATTGCAGCTTTACATGCATTGTGGAAGAAAAATGGCTTTCTTCTTACATCATATTTTAAAATGGATGTTGTTGTCAACATTGAAGAGATTGTATCGCTACCCAAAAATAAATGAGGACTACTCAACCTACTCAATGCACTCTCAAAGCAAAAAGTATAAGTGCTCAAGTATAAAGTATAAGACACCTCAGTGCATGTTTTCTTTTATGGAGAAGACAATCCCATATTATACACTATGATGAGCTATATATTTTGGGATTCATAAACAAACATCCAAGCTGAGGTATGAAGCAAGAGATTTGTTCGAGATACTGGTCATTGTAAAGTTCTTAAAGGGATAGTTCACCCAAAAAGGAAAATTACCCCATGATTTACTCACCCTCAAACCATCCTAGGTGTATATGACATTCTTCTTTCAGATGAATTCAGTCGGAGTTATATTAAACAATGTCCTGGCTCTTCCAAGCTTTATAATTGCAGTGAATGGTGGTTGAGATTTTGAAACAAAAAAAGTGCATCCATCCATCATAAAAAAAAGGTGGGGGTGGGGGGGTGAACAAATTAAACTTTAGCAACCATATAGCAATTTGTTAAAGGGGTCATCGGATGCAAAAATCACTTTTGTTGTTGTTTGAACATAAATATGTGTTGGAAGTGTGTGTACACATCCACCCTATAATAATAAAAATCCACCCAGTGTTTTTTTTTAAATCCCTGTTTTATAATCCCCTTTCTCAAATCAGGCTGTTCTGAGATTCCTGTCAGAATGACGAAGTTCTGCACAGGCCGCTCCCACTATAGTTGATTAACACGGCCGTCTTACCTTAGACCCGCCCTGAGTGAGCTGTGAGCTGTCCGCCATTGTGTCGACTCCGGTGCAGGGGAAGACTATAATGTCTCCGATTAAGCAATTGAGGTGTTTTGTTGCTAGATGTAATAATGAACATAGCAGTCGTCATTTACTCCCGACATCTGAGCCGCTGAAGACGCAGAGGATTAACGTTACTTTCGTTTTTTGAGAGGAATGCACCAATCCCCGATCTGCCTAAATGCTTTTAAGTTTGCGCAAATCATTCATGATCCAGCTTCATCTACAGAAGAAGTAAGTATAAGGTTTTTTTTATGAATCTTTGCAAATCGCCTTTCCTAATAATGTGCTAG